TACATCAAAGTTATCTTTGTCACCTGTATCATTTTCAAGAAGCCCAGCACCTAATAAAGCCACAAAAGGCTCGCGATGAATGGACAAAGTTACACTTTGTGACCAATCCTCTTCTTTTGGATATGACATTTGATGCAATTAGTGCCCAAATCGACTCTTTCAAGTGTGCTGTCAACAAGATTGCGGGACAAACCCGACACTGACTCGAAAAAAATATGTCTGTATTGAAAAAACAGAAGGAATTACCTGGATGCTATCCAAAATGCACTTCCACCATCACCAATTAGATGTCCCCAACCGCCAACACCAAACACACGACCATCATCTAGGAGGACGCGGCATGAAGATCCAGTGCCAGCAATCAATACTATTCCTCCTAAATTGCTACATATTTGACAATAATTTAACAAAGCTTCTTAACAATTTTGAATTTTTGGAAACCAACAAGTGAATTTAGTCATTTTCCTATTCAAAGAAGTAAAAATCTTAGCAAAAGGAAAATAAGCTGCAGTCCTGTCTATGTACTACTACTTATCATATAAATTTACTTAACTCAAGCCTACCACGATCAAAAGTAGATGCAACGGTTGCGACAGAATCAGATGTTAGAAATACTTCTTGAGCCACATCGCCATGATGAGTTTTGAGATATGCAACAAACTTGGCGTTATCTCGTTCTCCCTCAGCCCCAGACAAGCCCAGTCCCTGAACGTATCACATTTCAGAGATAAAGGTCTGTGCATCGTATAAAAACAAGAATTAAATCCATAAGAATGGAGGATCACTCACTAATCCTTTAAGAGGAAGTTGAATCTTGTGATTGGTGGCTGCTTCTCGAATCCATTTTGCGATATTGTTGGCTGTTTTTTCAATACCATCCAAATTATAGTTTGTTCCTCCAGTCGATGATCCGCCTAACATTATACCAGCTGCATTTACGAACACCAACTGAGATTGCGTAGCGCCTCTAGAAGTTTTAGTGTTTGATACATAAAGGTTCTAGCAAATCCAAAAAAACCAACTTAAATTGAATCATTCCGAAGAGTGCACGTGGAGCTAAGGAGGAGAACCTCTCATTTTTGCAACGTTTATGATATTTTATTTTTGTAAGAGTGTATACTTACAATAAATCCTTCTGTACTTCTTACTACCACAGAATGGG